TTTTTTTTTTTTTAAAGAGAGAGTGAGAGAGGGGAGAGAGGGGGAGAGAGAGAGAGAGAGAGAGAGAGAGAGAGAGAGAATTTTTAATATTTATTTTTTAGTTCTCGGCGGACACAACATCTTTGTTGGTATGTGGTGCTGAGGATCGAACTCGGGCCGCACGCATGCCAGGCCAGCTCGCTACCGCTTGAGCCACATCCCCAGCCCTCTAACGACTTTTTAAAAACAATGGAATCTGATCAAAGAAAAAAGTCCCAATCAAAAAACACTTTTGAGATAAGTGAAAATGAAAACATAACATATGAAATCTTATAGGATGCAATGAAAGGAGTGCTCAGAGGGAAATATCTGAAAATTTATACAAAAAAAAAAAAAAGATCTCAAATCAATATAGCCTAACCTCCCACCTTTAGATAATGGAGAAATAAAACCATAGCTAAAGCAATCCAGAAGCAAAGAAATTACATTAGAAGAAATGAATGAAGTAGAGAATATTAAATATAGAGAAATTAATGAAAGTTGGTCCTTTGGTAAAATCAAAATGGCAAACATTTAGCTAGTCTTACCAACAACAACCAAAAAAAAAAAAAAAAAAAAAACAGAAAAGATAAACCAGAAATCAAAATGGCAAACATTTAGCTAGTCTTACCAACAACAACCAAAAAAAAAAAAAAAAAAAAAACCCAGAAAAGATAAATCAGAAATAAAAACAGGATATTACTATGTACCCTACCTTACAGAAATAAAAATCATAGAAGAATTTCATCAACAACTATATGCAAATACATTAGGACAACTTAGAAGAAATGGACAAATTCTAAGAAACAAACTCTGACTTAAGAGTTGAATAGCCATTAGAAGATAGAAAAGCTACTAAGAAAAAAAAAAATCCATGCTCAGATGGCTTCGCTGGCTAATTCTACCAAACATTTACAGAAAAAAAAATGCCAATTTTTTTTTAATGAACTCTTCCCCCCAAAATAGAAGAAATTTTCCCAACTCAATTCTATGAAGCCCTGCTACCAAAACAAGATAAGCATAACTAGAAAACTCCACCTGAATAAGATGCATAATTCCTCAACCAAATACCAGCAAACTGAATTCTGTAACATAAAAAGGATTATTATAAACCATAACCAAGAGGGATTTGTCCCACAACCCAAGATTGGCTCAATGATGAGAAATCAATTAACATAATACACCACATTAATAGGGGAAAAATAATATTTCTTTCCTCACACTAGGGAAATGTAACAAAGGGAAAAAAGTTTAAATTTTTTCTTAAAATTTTTAAAAATGGTACATAAAAAAATGTAAGTTTTTTTTWAAAAAAAGGCTAACTGTAGAAATGTTCCAGATTAAATGAAGCTACAGAAAAATAAAAGTGCAATACCTAGCCTGGACTGGATTCTGAACTGAATTTTGTACTGGAGGGAGACAAATGCTATAAGGCTCATTAATGTGTCAAATGACACTAAGTGGAATATGGGCAGTAGATTATACAAAACTGTCTTATCAATTTGAAATCTACTGAAATTAAAAACTGTACTATGGTTTGTCAAGAGAATATCTCTATTCCTAGAAAATACACACTGATCATTTTAGAAGTAAAAAGTCATAATGTATGCAATTTATACATGGGGGGAGATAAAAACAATAAAATGAAAGGGTAACAGGTGAAATCTGAGCAAAAGATGTAAGTTTTAAGTTATTTACAAATACTGTAGAAAAAAGAAAAAAGCACATAACTTATGAAAATACTTAAATTAGTATTTCCTTTTATAATACTATAAGACAGAAATCATGATATGGAGATACCATGGGCTTCATTTTTCATTTTTACTGACAATGTACCAGCCTATTTTAAAATGTGCAAAACAGATTATTTAAGTCACATGAATAATGAATTCTGCTAAGGAATAAAATACACTTAAAATACAATTTTAGTTTTTTTAATAAGAGCTTTATAGTTATATCTTGTTTATATATGCCTATTCTTAGTGCCATGCATAATAGTCTCTAAAAACAAATATAAATTTATATATACACATATGTACACATAAGTTACATATAAATTGTGTACCCCTTACACAAAATGCTTGGGGCCAAAAGTGTTTTGTTTTATTTTTCGATTCTGGATATTTGGATATACATAATGAATTTGGATGGGGTCCTAGTCAAAACAGGAAATTAATTTTAAATATAGTCTGAAGGTAATCTTATATATTTTTCAGTAATTTCACACATGAAACAAAGTTTCAAGGTATGGAATTTTCCATTTGTGGTCTCAGGTCAGCATGCAACAAAAAATTTTTGGACTTTGAAGCATTTTGTTTTTTCAAACCAGGGCTGTTCAATCYGAATTTGAGTAGATATATTCCACACAAAATTAATTTTGAATTTCACATTCCTCCTCCTCCCATTCTCAACTACTTCTACTATACTGTTCTCCACACTTACAAACAGCCTAATTTCTGAGCTACTAATTCATAAAATGCTTATTGAACAGCAGGAACAATATTACACTCAGGACCACCTACTCTTCTGAGGAAAAGTGCTACACAGTACTGGGTATATAATATAAACAACTTCATTAATGTATAATTATTGTGTTTATGATCACAATACCAACTCTAATCCTGTACTGATGCTGACTCCTGAATCTTAGTTCCTCCTCTGAAGTGTGACAGACTTGACCCCACAGAATTTCACATTCTAATACTCCCTCCTTGACTTTATACAACAGCAGAAACAAACCACAGGTTAATTCCAAAATCTGCTCTTTCCATACACTATTCTTTCAACTAAAAATCATCTTCTCAGGCTTACACTCCTTCATAAATTACTATCAGTCTGTGAATGGTACCCTCTGGAATGGCCCAGCCAGTCGCACCCTGCTTTCCTACATGGGCACTTGGGCACAATTCTACTTCTGCATTTTATTCATTGGTTGGTAGGCTGTCTCCTACCAACCCTTAGTTCCTTGATAACAAAACTCTGAAGTTTAGTACCATAATAAATAATAAGCTTATATTTGTTAGGTGCTTACCAAGTAAAAGCATTGAGGTGTTCACTATTTGGCTAGCTACTGTTCAAAGTATATGCCATATTAACTCATGTAATCCTCATACTTTATGAAGTTGGAATTATTAAATCCATTTTAAAGTTGGACAAGCATGCACAGAATGGTAAATACAGTTCATTTGAAAAGTATTACACAATCAGGGCACAAGCCTGTAATCCCAAAGCGGCCTGCCTGGCCAGGTGATCCCCCGACCCTGCAGATGGTAGGGTCTGATGCAGAATCACAAGTTCAAAGCCAGCCTCAAAAACTAGGTGAGGTTGTGGCTCAGTGGTAGAGCACTTGCCTTGCACATGTGGAGCACTGGGTTCGATCCTCAGCACCACATAAAATAAATAAATAAGTAAAACAAAGGTACTATTGTCCATGTTCAACTAAAATAAGAAAAAAAAAACTGGGTGAAGCCTCAGCAAAGGTGAGGTGTTAAACAACTCAGTGAGACCCTGCCTCTAAATAAAATACAAAATAGGGCTGGAGATGTAGCTCAGTGGTGGAGTACCCCCGAGTTCAATGCCTGGTACCAAAACAAAACTTAAGGAGACCTAAGCAATTCAGCAAGATCCTGTTTCTAGACACCCCCCCCCCCCCCCCCCACCCCCCGCCAAAAAAAAAAGGCCGTGATGTGGCTCAGTTGGTAAGCACCCCAGGTTTCAATCCCCAGTACCAAAAAATAAAGGAAAGAAAATGCAATCAAAATAAAATACATACAATCTTGCTTCCAATCTTGACCAAGATATTAAAGAGTTCCACAGAAACCTACTAGAACGTCACACTACCACATACAATATTTACCTGTTAACTACAGTTCACGTCTATTATACCTTCCCAACCTATGTTGATTCTAATAGTCTATCCTTACATTCAGTATTTAACTTTTCCTGGTCCAGGGACTGGCATTATTTTCTCATTATTCTAGTCCTAGTTTAACTAATTTAAACCCTGTCCATTCTTTCTTAGTTAGTCTGTTCCTTTCTACCACAAATGACCTGGAAAAACTAGAAGCAGATAAGACTCCTACTAATCTTTTCAACAAATTCATTTTCGGGATGGAGTCGTTAGAGCCTAAGATTCAGACTAAACTCTGGCTAACGGTTTCTCGCTGTTATCTAAAGGGAAGCAAATCTTGTGGAGTCTCAGTTTTTCTCATCTGTAAAATGAGTCTCCTATCACCTGGGTGGAGTCTTTGTGAGAATGAAGAACAAACAGTGCCTGTTGGATAACTCTCATCTACAAATGCTGGTGTAACACTGAGTGGCAGAAGACAATTGAAATCGTTTAACCTGACAAAGAAAGACCTTCAGTCTGAATCCATCCTACTTGACAGGTTATGCTTTCACTATTTTGCTTCCTAATTCTCAATTTTTGCCGAAATGGTCTGCAATGGGACTCCCTTCCTCGGTAGAGGGCCTTTGGCCCTCTTCTCCAAATTTGGTACTTTTAACCTCTAGTTCAGGGTGCAACTCAATTCTCACCTCTACGGGTTCCCCCACCGGCCCAAACCTGGGTAACGCTTCCCTCTCGCAAATTTKCGTCCTGGCAGTCCTCCCCACTGACTCGGCTCTGAAACCCATGTTATCTAGGGGCAGTTGAGAAAAGATCCGTCGAGTGTGGAGGTGGGGGTGTGTCCCCTTTGTGTAATGATACAGATGTGCGGAGCCTGGAACTCATACTAAAAAGTTACTTGCTAACTGAAAAATAGGCCCGAAAGGGAACCCCGCTCATTGTTTCAAAACCCAGGAGGTACCGGGATACTTCGGGGAGAGAGCGAGGGGTCGTCCCTAGGTTCCTCCAGAGGGGGACCGTGCTTGGCAGCTCGGACGAGTAGCGTGCCGCCGGGCGCCTCCACTCGGGCAGCAGGGGCGTAGCGCGCGGGCGGCGGTCACCGACACGCGTCGAGCCCCCCGCCCCCGCCCCTCACCTTCTCCTCCTCTTCCTCCTCCTCCTCCTCCCCGGCAGAGCTGTAGGCCTCAAAGTGGTGACGCGGGGTCATCCGCAGGCCCGTTACCACCTCATTTTCCTCTCGCGCAGCGGCGGGGGCGCGCAGGACTAGGACCGGGCCGACAGAGGAGGGAGAAGAGAAGGAACCCGGCGGGGTTGGGGGGGCGCGGTAGCTGGCGCTCGAGCGGGACGCACGGCTGCGGCCAGGAGGTCGGTCAGCGAATTAGTTCCATGACCACCCCGGACCTGAGGCCGCCACCGCCGGTCCCGCTCCTCCAACCGCCGCCGCTGGTGCCTGGGTGAGGAGGGGGCTCCCTCTCGCCATAGGGCGGCGGGGGCCGGGGAGAGGCGGGGGGTGAGACCGGCTCTGCCCCTGCCCGGGGGAAGCGCCTCCGAGGGGAAATGGTGAAAGGGGGGGAAGGGGAAAAAGAAAAGAAAAGAAAAGAAAGGGGAAAGGGGGAAAAAATAAGAAAAAGCGAGACAGAGGCGCTGCCGCGTCCGCTCGCGGGGAAGGCTGGGGAGGGAGGGGAAGACAGGAAGAAGTGCCGGCTGCCTCAGCTCCGCCTAYGCGGACTGATTCCTTGCCTGCCCGCTCCTTGTAAACAACACTGGATTAGTTGCTCACCCTCCCCCTGTTTCCTTTCCACCGCTTTTTCTGTCCAACCAACACGAAGAGAAGTTTGCCCAAAAGTTAGACTATTATAGAAGGACTGAAGAAGTCGTTGACACTTGGGTGGAAGAAGGGAGGACATTTTCCGTGGGTTAAGATGAGCTGAAAGCCCGCGGACTCGTTTTCTTTGAAGGTGCGGAAGGGTCTCTCCTGAACCTCACGATGACGTAAGTGCCCTCTTGGCTAGCTGAAGAGGCGTGTGGTGGCCGGAGAGTACGCTGCGCATGCGCTCCTGGGAAGAAAGAAGCAGCTGAGCGCTCGCCTGGGGGCAGGGTTGTCTGGTCTGCTCTTCTGCCAACCTATAGCCACCTGGTTTTTTCCAACCTAGCTTATCTCCAACACAGAAGGATTTATACATAAGGGGCTGGGGATCTGTTGAGTAAAAATCTTGAATTCTTGTTGACTTCGCAAAAAACGTCTTCTTTATCGTTGGCGTGTAAAAGAATTTGTAGTTTGTTTTCCTCCCCTGCTGCCACATCCTGTCAGTGAAGGGGGTTTATGAAGAGCTTTAGAAATCAGAAAATGGGGTTGTGGGGGGGTACATCATCGGTGCTTAAGGCTTCATTTAAAGCATTAAATTGTACTGCTAATGGCTAGGAGCCTGCTTGGTAGTGTGCCAAGAGAATTCTATCCATTTAACCAACATGTCTGAGTTTTTCAGCGTTATTAGTAGGTTCTTAAGGGGTGGATGACGTAAATGCGTCTTACTCCAAATGATAATTTTTGCCTATCTTTTAATTGTTTTAATTATTAAAAGACTGTATAGTCTTAACAGAATTCTTTGGAAGAGAGAAGAAAACCTTAAACTCAACCATTTATAAATATAACCTCATTGGGGTTTTCCATCTTTGTCTTCCATATGCCTGTTATAACAATAAAAAAAAAAAAAAGGTCATACAGCATTGAGTTTATTCAGCAGATGAGCAATGTTGAAGTAACCAAGAAAGAAATAGCTTCTGTCTTCAAGGAGTTTACAGTCCAAGCAGAGGTAGCCGTTGAGCTAATTATCAATACCTAAAATTACCCAATGCATTCATTTGTTTATTTGTGCCTTCCCCTCCCTAGAATATAAGATCACAGATAAAAGAAACCATACAAGATTCCTGCTATCAGGTACATGTAAAAGACTCAATATTTGATTACTGAGTGAATAAACAGTTAACCAGTATCAAAAAGTATTAAAGTGGAAAACTGCAGGCTGCTATGGAAACAGTTACCACTAGCCTAGTTTGGAGTATCAGAGGTTTCTCTGGTGAAGGGACATTTAAAATGAGATTTGAAACCACCGCCGGGCAAAAAAGTGGGCAAAGAATGAGATGGGTGGAGGAAGTAACATGTGCCAAGGTTCTAAAGCTGACACTATGAAAAGTCCCGGGAAACTAGTGTGGCAGGCCCTCAGAGAATTGAGGGGCAGAGCCCAGGCCATATAGGAAGGCAGGGGACAGATCCATAAGATAGTATGGATTGAGAAACCCCATGGGAATCCTTGGAAGGATTTCACCTAGGTTATCTTCTGTCTTGTTTTTTCCCTTCATGTAGCCTTTTTCTGTATTAAGTGTTCTTCATTTTACATAGCCAACGTTTAAGCATAAAAGTAGTATAATTCCATTGTTGGGCCAAAAAATATTGCTTATTTTCACTTTTGTAAGAATAATAGGTGCTAGAAGTGTATCTCAATGATAGTGTGCTTTCCTAGTATGTGCAAGGGTTTGGATTCAATCCCCTGGGGGTGGGGGGATCTATTCCTAGGTGTATGTACACTCAAAAAAAAAAATGAAAATATCTATCCACTCAAGAAATACTCAAATGTTCACAGAGCATTACTCATAGTCGGCAAAAAGCAAAACACTCAAATGTCTGTCTTCATAGTTTGAATATGGTTTGTCCTTATGCTGATGCTATGTCCCCTATGTGTGTTGTGAGATGTGAAGTCTTAAAGAGGGATTCATGTCTTTAATCACTGGACAGGTCAGATCTCATGAGAATGGATTAATTCTTGAAAGAATAAGTTGTTGAAAGATGAGTTCATTTTCCTTGGTTCCCTTGCTTGATGCCTTTCTTGCCATGTGATCTCTTCTACCCTTCCACATGTACCCACTTCCCCTTCCACCACCAGGAAGCCCTCTTTAGAAGCCAAGCAAATGCCAGCACCTTACTCTTGGACTCCCAGAACTTCGAGCCCAAAGAAACCAATCACTCTCTCTCTCTCTCTCTCATCCATAAACCACCCAGTCTCAGTTATTTTACTATAACAGAAAACTAAGACAGCTATCAACTGATGAACCTACAAGTCAAATGTAGTAAATTTGTACAATAGAATATTACTTAGCCTTAAAAAGAAAGTTCTCCTATGTGCTATGGATGATCTTTGAAACCAGCTACAGGAAAGAAGCCAATCACAAAAGGTCACATATTATATGCTTCTCTTTGTATGAATTTCCAGAATACGCAAACCTGTAAGGACAGAAAGTGGTTGCTTAGGCTGGCGACAGACAAGGGTTTAGGGGATGATAGCTAATGGATATTGGGTTGGTTTTTGAGGTGAAGAAAATGTGTTGAAATTGATTGTGGTGATGTTTGCTCTAAATGTATTAAAAACCATTGAATTGTACACTTTAAATTGATGAATTATGAATTATGTAAAATATATTTGTAAAATTATGTAAATATATATAAATATATTTTGTAAATTATGTAAAATATATATCAGTAAAGCTATTACTGAAAAAATGAAGAAAAAAATTTCCCTTAACATCTTTTTCTCATAATCTCTTCTGGGTTATTCCTGGGTCCTATGGTATCTGCACTTCTATGGCTTTTAATGAATATGAATTTACAAAATTGTTTGTCATAAGAATTGAACCAATTAAAATGTAACCAGGATTATTTTAGAGCAACCACTTCATTATATATTTATTCTTTTTGTAGTTCAGGTTAATTAAAACCATCTTGCTGTCTGTAAGATTGCCAATGACAATTTAATTCACGATACTATAAATATAATTACAAGTAGTTAATAGATAGGTAAGGAGCTAGTTCTAATTGTCTAAAAAACAAATGGACATTCTTTTTCTTCACTACTCATTTATAAAAACTATTGGGTTAAAATTTTATAAATAACTGTAATTTTCTTATAATGAATTATAGTTGTAAAAATGCAAAGTTATGATATCCCCTGAGAAAATAAAGCATATAAGAAGACATTAATATATATATTGATAAGGAATTTATATTTTTAGGGATGTTTACCTTTTATCCTAAATTCTAAGATTAGATTTCCATTCTACATGGCATTTGAGAATCATAATAACCTAACACATGCAGATGACAATCTACCAGGCATCATACCAAGCACTTTTATCATAAGCTCTCATTTTTTTTAATCCCCACAGTACTTTTCTATAATAGTATTTTTATTGTCCCCGTGTTTGAGAAGATCAAGAGGTAAAGTAAATCCCCAAGGTTGGCCACACAGCTTAGAAAGGCATAGCCAGGATTCAAACCCTGTTTGACTGACTCCCGGGCATGGTATGCTATTAACCACTACTCTTTTCTGGCTTGGCCTGTAGATATTTTTGGCTAGCATTAAATTTTAGAATGAAGATACTCAACCTATGGTTATTTTTGGCTTGTCTTTAATCCTAGAACAAATTTAAAAAAAAAAAAACAATTCAGTGAGCAGTTGTTATTTGTGTTACTAAAGAGCTGATTTTTTTTTTTTTGGAGGAGTTATTAAAATTCTTAGACTTGCTTTATTTCATGACTGAAATAGCAAATCTTAAAATAAAAGCATGCCTTGCTTCAAATGCAGAGTAGTAAAGTAAAGAAGCACCTGAGAAATTGTGCTCTTTTAATAAAGGGTCTGTCCTGGAATGCAAAATAGTGAAAAGTCTACAGGTTTCAGAAGTCTAGAACTGGGGAAGAGAACCAAATGGTTCGACACAAAGTGGTTTGTAATCCTTAATTTTTCAAGAAATACAATTAGAAGTGTACTACTTACAATTTTATGAGTAAAGAAGGCAAGACTATTTAATTTTTGCCTATTTAATATTTAGGCAGAAATTTCCAGTTTGTTTTCCTGAATGAACCTTTTGGGTAATATTTCCACCAGACAATTTATGAAGTACTATCTTGTAGGAAAAATATCAAAGCCTACAGAACAAGGGAAATGGTTTACTATCTTTATAATCACTTATCTTTAGCATCTGCCTACATTTAAAGATTCTGTTAATAGCTTCCAAAATATTTGTTTTCGTTCATTTCTACAGAGATGGAAACTTCCCAAACCAATTTCCCAACTTCCCAAACCTCTCTTGATTATGTCATCAAGAGAGCAGGGAACCCCCATTCACCAAATAATGTAAGACCTCCTAATCAACATGAAGAAGGACTCAAAAGCATGTCAAAAATCAACCTGCTTTTTATATTTCAGATAACTTTGGATGTAAAATGACTTTCAGTTTCTCATATTTAGGTACTTACTTTAAAAGACTTCACCAGAAGGGACGATTGATTTCCTGCTTTATCAAGAGGAGCCAGGAAATCAAATAACAACCACCTATTTGTATTGGTATCTCAAAAGTCTTCAGTAGAAATATTTTATTTATGTATTTTGGTTGGGAGAAAAATACATCACTAAAATAATGTATTTTACTCTTTTAAAGACTTTATGGAATTTTGAACCACTACATTTAATAAATTCAGTAAAAATTATTTTTGTATATTTTATAAAAGCAAACTACCAAGACCTTTTCTTTCCCATTATGCATTTATGGGGGAGAGGTGTGGAGAAGGGTTTAAATCTTCCAAAGTTTAATTTTGGTCTCATAACAACATAGTTTACTGTACCCCTCC